GTTGTTTTGGCTCCTCCTCCTTTCTCTTACACTCAAGTTGTTTTGGCTCCTCCTCCTTTCTCTTACACTCAAGTTGTTTTGGCTCCTCCTCCTTTAAGATGATCAGGGATGCCTTTCTCCTGATTGGCTGCTCCTCGTGAACATGAACGTGTTTAGAGCGTTCTGAGGCCTGAGCGCCGTCCTCACACTGTCGAACGACAGGTTTGTTTTTAAGTTTTACACGTCGTACAGAAGAATCAGGCGCTGTTTAAGCTCGCGGTTACTTTGGCAACATCTGTGAGGCCTTTGGGTTAAGATGTGACAGGAAGTGCTGAGCCTGTGCTGAGGTACAGTCTGGTACTTTTGTTCAGCAGACGGTGGAAACGGTTGAAATGATGCTCGTGATGAAAGCAGCGCAGCTCGCGGATGGTTCCAGAACTTCCTGTTTCACGTTTTTCACAGCGAGGACGACCCAGAGCGCCGAGCGTCTGTTTTGTCTTTATTATTGTTTTTGTTTCATGCTTACTGTATCATGTGTCGCGGTGTAATTACAGCCTCACTCCTCTGGATCGTTGTTGGCAGCTGTTGTTAACATTGGTCCTCATGTGTGCACCGGCACATGTGATTGGCTGTTAGAAAGCAGATGATTGGCTCTTCGGCAGGATTTCTGTCATACATTTGCCATTTTGGGGGTTCAGGAATTCTGCAGCTCATTCCTGTCCCATTAAGGAAGGAAGGAGTTTTTTTTTCTTTGTTTTGTTGTTTCAGGATGATGATTGGCTGAAGCATCGGGTGCTGCGGGTAACAGAGCAAAGATGGATTTGGAGAGAAATGGAAGGTTTCAGCAGATCAAACCTCTCAGATGTGATGGGAGGGAATATTTAAGGCGAAAATCAGCTGATTTATAAAAGCACACATGCTCGCTGGCGTTTGTCTCTGGGTCAGTTAAGTGGGTCAACGAGCAGCTCTGACTGCGTTAGTCACTCATCCATCGACTCATCCATCCACTCTGCTCGGCTCTGAGTCAGCCGGTCAGCAGCTGAAACGATGACATCACCCGTCCACAGAGTGAGAGATGCAGCAGACGAAGAGGGGAGGGAGGAGGGGGGTGTTGCCTTGGTGATATCACTGCCATCACAGGATTGGCTGGAGCCATCGGTGATGTCACACATCTCCAAGCTGCTCTCCTGAGCTTTGAACCGAGACTGCGAGAGAGAGGGAGAGAGAGACGGACGGGAGAAAGTTGCGTCGTTTGGAAACGTCTCCGAGCTGCGGACGGCGAGCTGGAAAAATACAAAAGGAGGTTTTGAGGCCGTGGAGGCGGAGCAGAGCTGCAGGTGCAGAGCGAAGCCACGTCCAGCAGGCCTGAGTCGAGCGAGGTGACCGAAAATGAAGATGTAGCTGAGATGACGTCAGATTTTTGGCGGCCGAACGGGCTGAAAGCAGCGAGACATGAGAGCCGGGCGTCCGTTCGTTTCTGAGGACTCGACAGGTGACGGTTTAGGGGCCGACATGGAGCGAGAGGAGGGAGGCAGGGCCGAGGCGCTGAGGGGACGAGACAAGATCCTCTGCTACATCAACATGCAGAGCCCAGGTAGGAGTCAAACCCCCACCTGGAGGGGGCAGCGCCTGATCAGATGGCTGTAGCGGCGAGACTGTGTCGGGTTAAACATCTGCATCAGCAGCTGGAAGTTTGTTTGCTGGGAAGCCTCGAAATGTGTTTCCATGTTATTCCTGATGTTCTCGTCATCCCACCCAAGTCACCGTGTTCAGGCTCAACCCGGCGGTGTGAATGCAGGTGTCCGATGGAGTCGAGGTTAAAAATGTGACGTCGCTGTGCGCTTCAGGAGTCGGCACACGATGACCCCGCACTTCATCTCGTGGTGATTTCACCAGAGCGAGTGTCGGAGTGTTTCCCGAAGCGCAGATGCGTCTGAAGCGATTTCCTGCCACGCGTGAGAAAGAAAAATGGTGTCAAACCTGATCTGAGCTCAAAGTTCAGACCTAAAGATGGCCACGAGACGCGGCGAGCTCCGAGAAACTGCTCCGACGCTTAGTTTAGTTTCAGGTGTTTGTGCTGCAAAGCTCTGGTTTTCACTTGTTATCAATGGCGTGCGCCTCCTCCCTGTGCGCCTCCTCCCTGTGCGCCTCCTCCCTGTGCGCCTCAGACTCACTCGCTGTTCAGTTGAGCAGAAAGTGAAGCTTCAGTCAGAGGGCGAGGTGTTCCTCAGAGAAACATGAAACGTGTTGAACTTTATTTTGGTGAGCAGACAGTGGATTTGGAGGCTGCTGTTTTCAGGCCGGATGGGCTGAGCGCAGCGTGCTGTCACTTCTTTTTATTTGTGAGTGACCAAAAGCTCAGTTTCACTTCCTCTTCAACAAACAAAATGGCGCTCTTACTCTACAGCTCGGTCCTAATATGCTCGGTTATTTTAGTACTCGAGTATTCAGTCGAATAATCGAGTATTTGGATAAGAAAGGATTTCTGACAGGTGCGTGTGTGTGTGTGTGTGTGCGTGCGTGTGTGTGTGTGTGTGTGTGTGTGTGAAGAACATGAGCACGTCGACATTCTCAGAGTTTCGCTCTCTGCTGTGATGCAACGTTTCCTGCTGGTGTTAATAATTAATAGTTAATATAAATACTTAATCAGTGTTAAGAATAATTTTCAGTTATTAAGACGATTTAATAAACATTTTGTTCATATTTATGTGAATCTGAATCTTGAAAATAAAGTTACTAAAGCCTTGAAACAGTTGTGGTCTGGTACCCCCCGAGCCCCCCTTTAGACTCCGCCCTGTTGCTGCCTGATTTGAACATGGTGTCAGACGGAGCTCACTTTGCTGCAGCCGGTGACGTGTGGAGCAGGTGCACAGGTGTGTGTCACCTGAGACTGGCAGCAGGAGTTTGTGCAGCACCTGTTCTCAGTGAGGAGGCTCCTCCGTTCTGTTGGTTGTGCTGTCAGATGAAGACGTGTCCCTAAATCTGGCGTGGAGCTTTAAAAGCCCCGCCAGCGCACACGCTCACACAGTCCCACTGTTCTTTCTATGGGTTGTGGGTCACACTGCTGGTTAGTTGTGGTTTCTTCGATATAGTCTGCACAACAAAGTGATCCCTCCCCTCATCAGTCACTGATGTGTCACATGACTGCAGATACCTTTGACATCAGGGTGAACGTCAGAGTCAGTGAGCGCCTATAAATCAACAGTCGCAGGATGTTTGTTTTAACAAAGGTTTAAATACTTTCTGTTCACACTCAAATGCTCGCCTGTTAGCGCCCCCTGGTGGTGTGACTTTAGAACAGGTGACGCTGTGAGGAGGAGAGCACCGGTTCCCAACAGCACAACCTCACGGTGTTTCATGTAGTACAGGCTCTACAGCAGCGGTAGATGACTCCAGGCCTCGAGGGCCGGTGTCCTGCAGGTCTTAGATCCAGCACAGCTGAGTCAAACGGCTAAATGACCTCCTCAACATGTCTTGAAGTTCTCCAGAGGCTGGTAATGAACTAATCATTTGATTCAGGTGTGTTGACCCAAAGTGAGATCATTGAGCTAAAACCAGCAGGACAGCGGCCCTCGAGGCCTGCAGTTGCCCACTGCTGCTCTACAGCATGAGAGAAACTCACCCAGGAGCATTTGGTGACTGTGGGAAGGAAGAACTCTGTTTTAATCTGGTCTTTAAGTGGTGACGTGATGAAACCTGCTTCCAGGCCCAAACTACTCTGCGTTTAATAAGGCTGTTGTGTTTTTAACATGTTTTGTATCTTGTTCTATTTAATCTCAAAAAGCCCCTAAAAACAGTCAGTGATCCCTGTTTTTATTGCCGCTAATCGTTTTAAAGCTCAGTGTTTAAACCCTTCTGCTGTAACTGCAGCCCAGCAGCAGTATATGAACGACTAACCTCGTACTGTGGATGGATGATCTCAGTTGTTCTCCTGACTGAAGTTTGGTCCGTTTACAGCATCCTGCCATCGATTGCATTTGTCTCTATCAGGAACCTTCACGTTAACTTTCATCGAGTCGAAAAGTGTTAGCATTCATCCTCCAGCATTTATGTTGGAAGTGATAGCAGAGCTGCACGTTTGAATTTTCAGAAATCTCTGTCAGAACATGCTACATCATGTTTAGGTGGAAGCTAGCGAGCTAACTTCCTGCTAACTTCTAACTCTGTTAAATGTCATAAATCCTGTTTTCATGGATGTTAAACTCAATTGTTACACCTGGTAAAGCAGCAACGCTGATGATTTTATTAAAGATGAAAGACAGTTTGTAACTCTCAGTGATGCCGCAGTGTTCATTTGACTTTGGGCCCAGACACGGCTAATAACGTCAGACTTAAAGACCGGATAGGATGGAAACTATTAAAAGAAACCAGGATGAGGGAGTGGAGGATTCAGGGTCACCTGGTCCAGCCCTAACTATATGCTTTAGCAAAAAGGAAAGTTTGAAGCCTGATCTTGAAAGTAGAGATAGTGTCTGTCTCCTGAATCCAAACTGGAAGCTGGTTCCACAGAAGAGGGGCCTGAAAACTGAAGGCTCTGCCTCCCATTCTACTTTTAAATACTCTAGGAACAACAAGTAGGCCTGCAGAGCGAGAGCGAAGTGCTCTAATAGGGTGATATGGTACTAGAAGGTCATTAAGATAAGATGGGGCCTGATTATTCATCCATCAAAAAGACAATGGCTCCGTCTCCAGGTGTGACTCCTCCCCCTCGCTCTCCGTTTCAGCTTTACCTCCTAAACCTGTGAAGTCTTCGGCTCCGGCTCCTTCCACCAGTTTCAACAACAGCATGGTTCTGCAGGACGCCGAGTGGTACTGGGGAGACATTTCCAGGTAACACACACACACACACCGTGGGAGGACATGCAGGATGTACGGAGGGATGCAGAGTCTGTTTTTGCCGTTTTAGGGAGGAGGTGAACGAGAAGCTGAGGGACACGGCCGACGGTACGTTTCTGGTCCGAGACGCCTCCACCAAGATGCACGGAGATTACACTCTGACTCTGAGGTAAAGCTCTCAGTGCATCACCGGCTTTTCAAACACAGGTTTAAAATCCAGTGAGCAGAAATGAAGCGTTTAAATAATGTGTAAATGTAAAGACTGAATGATCTACAGGTGTGACGGGTGGAAGAGCCAAAACTCGTGGATACGAGGCTCAAATAAAGCTGAGAGAAACGTTCAGCTGAAAGTCGACATTAACAGTTGAATAGAACGTGGAACAGGATGAAACCTTTGCTAATCTTGTAAGAATAAAACATTCATACAAAGTTAAACAACTTTATACTCGTTAATTCACATTTTTAAAATCCTATAAAAATAATTTACTGTCAGTGATCTGTGGCTGCTCACCTGCAGCGCCCTCACTGTCCACCAGGGGGCCAAGGCTCTACGTCTTCCAGCTGATTTGCAGATTTCGTGGTTTGCACAGTTCTTGTTGTTTGTGCAGTAAACGTCCACAGCACGACTGTCTGCTTTGTGTCTGGACGATGCCGCGGGCTCAGAGTTGACCAGCTCTCCGTTCTCTCGTCACCTGCAGGAAAGGAGGCAACAACAAGCTGATAAAGATCTTCCATCGGGAGGGGAAGTACGGCTTCTCCGACCCCCTGACCTTCAGCTCGGTGGTGGAGCTGATCAACCATTACAGACACGAGTCTCTGGCCCAGTACAACCCCAAACTGGACGTCAAGCTGCTCTACCCGGTCTCCAAGCACCAGCAGGTGGGTCGCGCTCTCTGAGAGTCTGCGTTTGGTTAACGACGGCGTCTGACCGCTGCGTTGTTGTCGTTCAGGATCAGGTGGTGAAGGAGGACAGCATCGAGGCGGTGGGGAAGAAGCTGCACGAGTATCACCTGCAGTACCAGGAGAAGAACCGAGAGTACGACAGGCTGTACGAGGAGTACACCAGAACGTCGCAGGTACGCTCGGAGGAAGATGATCAGGATACTTACAGGCTTTTTAAGAAAGAGCTGATTCTTTTAGTGCTTGATCATTTAAGGGTGTTAACGGGGAACTCTGAGTACTGGAGTAGAAGAGGACAGAGATTTGAGGCCTACAGTTAATTAAAATGATTACATTTAAATTATGGTAAATAAAACATTCCTCCTCCTCCTCATCATCAGGAGATCCAGATGAAGAGGACGGCCATCGAGGCGTTCAATGAGACCATAAAGATCTTCGAGGAGCAGTGTCAGACTCAGGAGCGCTTCAGCAAAGAGTACATCGAGAAGTTTCGCCGGGAGGGAAACGACAAGGAGATCCAGAGGTAAGCCGCTACCATGGCAACTGTGACGGAGCTCGTTGAGGGGAAAAGCACACGCTAAAAGGAAGCCGGTTGCCATGGCAGCAGACTGCAGGAAGAAAGCCGCCTGCTGGTAAACGAAGTTTGGAGTCAGAAATGAGCTTCAGCTCAGTTTGATCTGAATGTTTTTATATCGAAACGACAAACAGACGACGAGTCTGCGCGCTCGCCGTGCAGCGGCGTGTTTGTCACGTGACAGTGAACTCCCGCTGCGTCTCCGCAGGATCATGGAGAACTACGACAAGCTCAAGTCCCGCATCAGCGAGATCGTGGACAGCAAGCGCCACCTGGAGGTGGACCTGAAGAAGCAGGCGGCCGACTACCGAGAGATCGACAAGAAGATGAACAGCATCAAACCGGACCTGATCCAGCTCCGCAAGACCAGGGACCAGTACCTGATGTAGGTGACGCCCAG